TTTTTCGAAGTTATAACTTGAACAATTTTGAAAGAAACTCAAGAAAGTCTGATGTTTGTTGTTTTTGCTAGCTAATGTCAGTTGTGAGACTATTTACTAGTTGCTATTGTCTGTAATGGTTAACGTCCTCTTTTTCTGTATCGTTTGAGATGGAGAGACGTAAGAAACAGTGTGATAATTAGCATAATCTCTAATTAGTAGCGTGAAATACTCATTAACGTCTGTAATGGGGAGAGGGGAGACCCGCAAAAATGTATCCCTTAAACTTACGCTCACCATTTTCTTCAAAAATATATGTGAATTCCACAAAAGGAAGAGCTGCCATTGGTTTAAATACTGTGAACAAACGAGGGAACTTTGGAACATGTAGTATTGGTGAAAATACTGGCAGTAAGTCACCGACAGAGGGTCTACAGTGATATCGGTGTTGACTGCAATATTAAGATATCCACTCCTACTTTTCAGTGTAAACACAGGTGTCAGTACACTGAAACTGCACATTCATAATGGAACCATTTCAACTGATCAGTTATTAGGTTATCGACTATATGAAACTTCCTATATTTCCATGTCAAAATTTGAAATTTGATGGAATTTGTTTTAATCGGGAAAACTCTCCTACAACATGTTTACTGTTCGAATACAAAATTCCTAATCGTTCTTTATAGTAAACAAATCTTTTAAGATTTGACAAACGATTCTTTTGATCATCTAATAAAACCAAAGAAATCTCTTTGATTGTATCACAAAATTGTTTTGTTTTATTTTTAGTTGTTAAATTCTATTCAAATGATATTAGTATGCATTTAAAACATATTGAAAAATATGAAACACGAAAACTTTATTTGAACAGTTTACAATCACTTCTTATGACTTTTGTATCCATCAGAAAATTCAGAACAAAAATCATTATATTTAGAAAAATATCGAATTCTTATACAAGTAAAACAAATGTTTTAAACATTAAAAAAAAAAACAATTCTTTTTTTTTATAGGCAATTCTTGCATCTGAACGAAAAGATGATGAATTACAAACTCTGTTCTACAAAGATCTTAACGATTTGAGCACAGATTTTCCTTCTGAATGTTAGTTTTGATTAAAACTTAAATGAATATTAACAAAAGAGAAAATATATTTAGATATTGAATGTTTTTTACAAAAGCAATATAATTCTAAATTATATCCTGAATTACTTAAGGTATTGTAAAATTGAATATCTTAAACATTTTTTATCAGTATTGTTTTAGAATTTGATTAATTTTACCGGTGTTCGTTTGTCGAAATTCAATACTGAATTGAAATTGCCCATTGATACAACTGATTTAGACGATCTTAATGATTCAGAGTATGTTTGCTTGAAAATGCCATATTAGAAAACACGAATATTTTCAACCAGTGACTATATCGTCATCACCAGAGCTTCTAATAGTCTAGATTTAACAAAGACGATTCATGAGTTTTTGATTTTGAGCCAATTAGGAGCTGTGGTAGGAAAGATGAACACGAAAATAGAAATTAACTACGTAATACATTGTGATAATGAACAGTCGAATGCTAACATATAGGTTTGGGTGTTCAGAGTACAGATGTGCGAGATCGGGACCCAAAAAAATGGTCCCGCATATCTCTAGTTAAGAGAGTTCACGTCCAGTCATTATACTAAAGCACCTTCAAGTAACGATTGAAAAGCAAACCGACAGATGGAAGTTTTCCTTGGTTAGACCATAGTATGAATTTCTACAATACAATAAAACTTTTTTTATTATTATCATTTAGATTGTTTTACCAGAATTTTATCTAACAGACTATTATGGTATGTTTCTTGTTGCAATTATTGATGTTGGTTGTTCATCAGTAGCATTGGTAAATATCACTTTTAAACTTCAAATAAATAAAATTTAATTTCTCTAGAATCTTTTACCTAATTATAAATCAAATATACGTTCAACAGATCAATTATTATGTCTTGATGCAATGTCTGCGTTTGCATCAAATGATCATCTTATTGAAGCATGTTAATTATTTGAACATCTCTCATTATTAATAAAACTCTCAGCTCAATCATGGTATCAATATTCGGAATGGTTAACAACATTGTCAAAAATATCATGAAGCATATGAAGCACGTTTATCATTATCAGCATTACAAAAACAAATTGGAATGAATGAACAAAGTCAACATACATTAGCGGAAGTTGTTAGTCGACCAATAAAACAAGAATTCAATGAAAAAAAAAGAAGATTTTCATGATGAAAATGATGATGATGATGATGAACAACAAGAAGTCACTGTTGAAAAAGTTCATTTATCTATGACCATTCAGAGTAGCCTTTATTGAAGTAAAATCTTTCGAAAAATGGACATTTTTCTATTAATTTTAATGTAGAATGTAATTGATTTCTAAGTATTGTGTTAATAACATTGGTTGAATCATTGACTTTTCATCTTATTAGTTCCTACAGCTGTGAGAAACGAAAATGACAATTTGATCTGAACTTCCATTTACTATGATTAAAACAGAAGTTGGTACTTTCTAAACATTGGAAGGTAGAATTGGAGAATGTTTCAACAAACAAGTTCAATCTCATCTTACAAGAAAAAATATTGTTAAAAACCTGAGATCAAGTTTAATAAGTCACATATTACTAGAAAAAGTTCCTCATTGTCTCTTCACTTGAGACAATTGCTATTTGATCTGTTATGCTTAGTGAAAAGTATGCTTTGGTTCAATATTCTATATATTTTGTTTCTGCTCTATGAGTATAGAATCGTTAAACATCCGAATGATCGAATTTTGAATCTTGCTAACAATCTCTTTTTTGTGAGGAAACACTTGTTTTGGGTTATATTTCAACGTCAATAGGAGTTCGTTTCTATACCAAGGTAGCGTCTTGAAACATTTACTCTATTCGAATTATTATTAATTTTTCAGCAACAAAAATACATAAAAATTGTAGTCACAACCAGCAATATCTGATTATTTTATTCACTAGCACCTGTTAGATACTTAGGAAATGCATATGTTCTTTCAAAAAAGAATTTCACTTTTAGAAAAGATCGATTAATTGTTTTTTTCTTTCTAGGCTTATTCTCACTGAATTTCTACTATTCATTAGTCTTATGTTACAACAATATGGTGATCTTGCATTTCAAACATGTCGAGAAATCTTTCGTTGTTATTCAAAATTAACAGTGATACAAAATCTATTTGCCTTAACAGCAACAATAACACCAAATATTCGTTTACAAAAATTTTCTGTTTATTTATTACAAAAACGACCTAATTCACCAATACTTCATCATATGGTTGGTAATTTTGCATTGATTGGTGGCACGTATCATTTAGCAATCATTCATTATATGAAATTATTTCGTTTAACACCCGATGAACCACTTGTTTCATTATTACTTGCTATTTCATTTGTACATGTTGCTTGTCAAATATGATTATTAAAGACATCAACGTGTTTTGTATGCACTTGCTTTTCTTAAACAATATAGAAATTTACGTGGAGAATGTACAGAAACATATTATAATATAGGGTGTTGAATGCATTTTCTCTCATTACATTATGCTGCTGCTCATTTTTATCATAAATGTTTAGAAATTGAATCACTCATAGTTGACAGTGATGATATCTATGGATTAAAATATCAAACAGTCTATAATCTTGCTTTAATTTATAAAGCAAGTAAAAATGAAAAATTTACTCGACATATTATTCGAACCTATATGACATTGTAATTTCTAACGAATTGTTTTTTTTTCAAATAAATATACGTGCATTCAATAATAAATCATCAATGTTGACATGTAAAATGAAATAGTTTTAATGCTTCCCATACGATGGTTACGAATTCCGAGGAGTCGAGGGAGTCCAATAAATAAGAGCTCAGTAATCAGAATTATATGCTAATCATTCCATTCTCTCTCAGAAAGGGCATTAAAAATGGTTTGAGTAAGACTACGTTTTCTCAGTATCTTTCGAATGGTCTTTTAAACATATTCTGAAAATTACTTTTAGAATCAAAATGAGCAAGTAAGTATGGTCTAGAAGAATTAATTTACATTCTTATTTAGATTCTGAAGATTTATTCGCATCTTATTGAAAGGACTTGAGAAACTAGACTCTATATCTTAATATACTTTCACAAATTACAGTTTTGCATTCTTACTACTTACACCACAGCACCATTTAGAAGTTATTCTTTCGAAAGCAAGTCGCAAGAAAGGCTTTCACTATTGATGTATGCTAGGTTAACAGATGATGAAGTGTATGATTCAAAAACTTGAGCGACATTTGAAAGTATTCAAGCCTAAAACTGAAGTATTCTCTAGTTTAATATGTGAAGCAATATCAAAATTTTATTAAATAAAAGACTCTAAAGGAACTCTAGGCGACACTCATGCACTATGTTTAGTTGAATAAGAATGAAATCCACTTTTCAACATTTCCTGAAAAGCGATGTCATGTCGCCTTGATATCGAAGGTAAACATTGTTACTGCAGACTCAGGATAATAAATGAGTTTTATCTTCAGTTTTTTTAGGCTTTCTCTTGTAACTATACACTAGAATCTTCTAGAAAATTCGGATTCGTCTAGACCGTAAGAGAGACATTTTCAATATCCTCTACTGGTTACAACAAGCAAAAATCTAACGAGAAATGACTTCTGAATCATTTTTTGGAAAAAATTACAAGTATCTACAATATATCTATCGAAAGCTATTCATAAAAATAAAATAAAAAGATTTAAGCGTGATTGCTTCTATTTTTGGAGTGATAATATCCAAGAAAAGAAGAAAACCCTTAAATAAACTAGAAGAAAAATCGTCTCACTCCATCTAAATAACTCTTGGTCTTAAACATGTATAATTTCATTACCTTCAAGTCGGTATCGAACTTTTAATTTCATAAAATATAGTTGTGATTCAATGATACTTTACTAGGTAATGTAATCAATTCAGTTGATTTTAATTCTAAATTTAATGTTCGACGTACATAACAATTTGCAAAATCTTTTGATTCAAGTGCAAGAAAAACAACATTTCCCAGAAAAATACCCAGCTATTTCGCCAATTGCATTACATGTACTTGTCGACCTCAAATTTTCTTTATAGAAAATAAAATGAATGAATTATTTCAATAAATATATTTTTTTAAATTTACTTTGAGAACATTGAAAGAGTCGAACCATCCATACAAATATATTGAGCTGCAGCCAAAAATGATAAACGAAAAACTATACATGTTAAAAAATAAATACCTAAAAAAAAAACAAATTCACTTACTAATTAATAAATTATAGTTTCAAAAATCATATATAGATGATGATTTTTTTTTATTAAGCTTTTCTAAGAATTAATGCCCCAAAGGCTTTTTAATACTCCCATAATAGATAATGATTAGTTGGAGTTGGCTTATCTAATATACCTTTAATATAATATGATAGAAATACCATAACAAATTCAATTGTACACTGAACTGGTATAAGCCATGTTTTTCTTCGACCGAATCTTTGGTACTACTGGGTATTTCCATGGAGTCTATACTACAAAATACACAAGTATTTCCGAATTCCATGAAACTGTCAGGGTTTCTAGATTATGCTAACCTAAGACTTTCTGTAAAAGCAATTTTTCAAATTTCATTAATAAGCATATACATATTCAAGATAGTAAATTTTGCAATTTTTCTAAAAAAAAACAGAAAAATTAGGATTTTTTTGAAAAATGCACCTGGGGTTTCAAATGCAAAAAGTAATAATTATATGTACGTATTATATATCATTCTGTTGCTGTTGGTCTTGGCTACATTTTGGCTATAATAGACCGTGGCTTTCATGATACATTCCTTATATGATTTTTTCATTTTTACGACATACCCCCTAAATCATTGGATACCCTCGTCTAATAGAAAAAACATTGAAAATATGGAATTTTCAAGTATAGCCATATATACAATTTTGTAGAGTGTCATTTGCTCTGCAAAATACAATATATCGGAGCTTTCACTTTTTTGATCTGACAAAATGGGAACACACAAAAATATAAAAAAGCTCTTTTAAATATGTACGAGGCAGTCGGTACAAGTGTCGACGAAATTTACTCAATTGAAGTCATCGTATTATGCTCAACTTATGGCAAGTTGTCGAGGAAAAAGTTTAAAAAATTTTGACGCAAGCCGATTCAAAAAATATGATTCCATTCTCAAATAATTGAAATTTTTCTAAGAACACTATCATAAAAAAACGGATGTTTTTTTGCATACTTTTTGTGATAATCATATCTCAGCAATGGAACATCCATTTGCCTTCAAAACTTTTATCACAATTCCAAGTCAACTAGTTGTAGAAAAATTACTTGATAAGAGTGAACTATGGGATAGTTGGTTACTAGTGTCTGGTACGAAAAATTAGTTAATTTCGAGGTTTTCTCCATAAATTTGTCCACATGGCCAGATAATTCTAGGCAGTTGAATTTTTAGCTATAGAAATGTCTTATTGAGTAGCTATTCTGATATCAAAGTCAAGTCGTTCGGTAGTTCCTATGGCTTAAAAGATTCTTTGCAAAAACCTGATTTTGGCGAGAATATTCAATGTTTGAAGATGCTGATATCCTGAAATATGGAATATATGGAAGCCGGATTTGTTTGGTTTCAGAGCACATGCTGAGTACTAGAGAATTTTGCAAGGATTGGTCTGGTATCTTAGAGAATGGTCTCCAGAGCAGCATTGAAAGTCACCGAAAAATTACTCTTTTCCCATACAAATAATGCTCGAACTCAGTACCAATTTAATAGAAAAATGTCGTTTCATAGAATGAATTGTATTCAACATAAATTAGTGCTTGATCCTCAAATTGATTAAATAAAAACCTGTCTTGAAAATTGCCAAAAATTGTTTTTGAAAAATCTCCGTAGGGAGATACGGAGATTTCTCACCAAAATCCCTCTAGAGGGGGGGGTACGTCAATTTTCGCAAAGAATTTGTTTTTCTTTTTTCGGTGATTATTTTTATGGAAGATAATAGAGGGTAACTAGTTGATTTACACTGAGTAGAATTTCTTTCACATATTTCGCTTCTCTATGTATCTTTGAACCAACTGAAATATATTTTATGTAGAAAATGGATCATTTTTGGGTATCTTAGAATAGCTCTCGTGGAATCATTCTACAAAAACTCATGTGAGTTTTTTCACTATATTACAGCAATAAGTGTCTAGTCAAAGCCCATATAAGTCAGACTTCTAAAAGACTGTTTTCTTGCTAGACCAAGCCTTCACGAAATTGCGATATTCGTCAAAATCATGATTTTATCCAAAATTTGCTGAGCGACACAAACAACCTGATGACCTAAACTTTTTACCAAAGCAATTATCCAATGAGATCCTTCTACAGCCGAAGCATCAGATCTGTAGCGTGATTATTTCATGTGATACATGTACTCACGAAACCTCGAAAATGACTAATTTTTCGTGCCGGACACTATCAATCAACTATCCAATAGTATCACTCTTGCGAAGCGATTTTTCTATGACAACTACAACCAGTTGACTGGTATTTATGGTAAAAGTTTCAAACCAAATGAATGTTTCTTTGCAGAGATATGAATATCATGAGAAAGATAGAAAAAAAAATTTTTTTTCATACTAGATAGTGTTCTTAGAAAAATTTCAATTGTTCGAGAATGGAATCATATTTTTTGAATCGGCTTCCGACAAAATTTTTTAAACTTTTTCCTCGACAACCTGCCATAAGTTGAGCATAATATGATGACTTCAATTGAGTAAATTTCGTCAACACTTGTACCGACTGCCTCATGCATATTTAAAAAAGAGCTTTTCTATATTTTTGTGTGTTTCCATTTTGTCAGATCAAAACAGTGAAAGCTCCGACATATTGTCTGTTGTAGCGCAAATCTATGATTTAGGGGGTATGTCGTAAAAATGAAAAAATCATATAAGGAATGCATCGTGAAAGCCACAGTCTATTATAGCCAAGACCAGTAGGAACCTAATGATATATAATACGTTTATATAAGTATTACTTTTTGCATGTGAAACTCCAGGTGCATTTTTCAAAAAAATCCTAATTTTTCTGATTTTTAGAAAAATTGCTCTTATAGAAAGTCTTAGGTTAACATAGTCTACAAACCCTGAAAGTTCCATCTGATTTGGAGATGATCGACGTAAACGTGGTAGAGACCCCATGGAAATAATTCATGAATTATTTCCTTGAGTGAATATACAGACTTTGTCTTTACCCAAACTCTTTGTAGAATTGTAGTAATAAACTTGGCTTGAAAGAACTATATAGTTTGTTCATTGACACATTTAATGAACCAATTTTTTGCCGATCAAGTTGAGAATTTGAACAGGCCAGTCAAATCAAAAAAGCCCTACCGGTTCCAGGTATGATATATAGAAACGGTTCAAAAAATCACCGAAAACAAAAAAATGGAAAAGCTCTTTCAAAACTCTCAACTGTTGCCAGATTCATAATAAAAGATGAGTTGCCAGCTTTTGAATAATTTATAGTAGGAAAAAAATAGAGATCTGAGGTTTCCACTACAAAAAAGACCAAACGCTGGATAGCAATTCTATTTTAGTTTCAAGTTGTCAATAAAACATATATGTATCAGAGATTACTCCGGTTTTTCTAAATTCATGCTATGTTTAGAACTTATTTTGAATATGTTTTGCTTATAAGTTAGATTGAAAGCCCACAATATCGTCTATAGAACCACATAAATTGCAGGTTTTTATCTTATGCTATTAAGAGAGAGGCTTAATTTTACTAAGAATAATCGGATAGTGCCAGGATACAATATTATTTCCACAAAGAAAATGTTTCTGAGGCAGTTAAAGAGTACAATATTTGAGTAGAGACGACAAATTGTGACAACGTTGAAATGCGAGAAACATGTTACGTATTCTATTAATGATAACTTTCACAGTTCGAAAGCTGTGTTACAATGTTCATATTACGTGGTAAATTCATTACTCATTAAAGCCATACGCTCTTTAATGTTAATTGTGAAACATTGCACGTTAAAACATCTTAAATTAGCATAGACCGCAATGAAATCATATGTAAAAGAACACAAAAGCAGCTTTCAATCAACAAATGTTCAAGGATCGATCTCTCATTGGATAGATGATCCACATCAAAACGAACTCATTTTTAGACGAGGAGACGTATATGCTGAAGAAATCAAAGAACCTCTAATCGATGATGGAACAGACGATTAAGTTTGTGATAATGCCGATAATTAATATATTTTTGTCATTTGGTTAGTGGTAGTTGTCATTAACAGAATAAGCATGTTTATCGTAATATTTCAAGTTTGTCACAATTTATTGTCTCTATTCAAATACTGTACTCTATAATTACGTCAGAAAAAAAGAACTTTTTTTTCGCAGTTAAATTTTTATACTGTGTCCTTCAGTCTGATTAATAATGCATTTTCTCATAGATTTTTAAGATTTGAAGGAAAATAATATTGTGTCCTAGCGCTATCCGATTACTTCTAGTAAAATCGATAAAAGAAATTCTTCGAAAATCTCTTCTGTCATTATACTAAATTAGCACTGTTAAGTTGAATCCATGACATTCATCATGGTTTTGACTGTTGGATTTATCGATATTGAAAGCAACCGCAAATTCATGCAGTTTTACAATCTCCGTAAAAAAGAAGCTACTGCTGTCACGATAGTATTTTTGAAACATTTTCTACACCGCTAATTCAGTCGACTCCAAAAGTCTTAATGAAATATTCTAATTGAAATTAGTTTTTTATATTCAGTGATTAGCAGCACGTCCTATACATTTCTAAAATGACAAGACTACATTGAGTCCAAATATTTTCAGATCCGGACCAATCCGACGGGCTCTACATCGGAATAATGCATTCTACACAAAGCAAACACTTTAACCTGTGACACATCAAAACATCGACGCTTAAAGATTCTGTATTCATCGAATAAAAAAACAACAAGACACATGATTGATTTTGTAAATAAATGAAAAATGATATTCTTTCATTGTTCGTTTATTCATATCATTCGATAATTGAATTCCTCAAATTTCGATAAACTAATGTACATTATCTTTTCTTATGTGATTAAAATAACGTTTAAATAAATATAATATCTACTAAGATTTTTCATTCTGTCATCCATTGAAACAAAATTTTATTAATATAAATATTAAAAAAAGTATTTATAGTCGACATATGTTAGACTCTTGATGAATTCAATTTTGCTGACGGGCCACGAGTATTTTTAGACGGAGAACTTGGTGTGTTCGGCATTGATGGAGTATTAAGAAAATATTTAAGAAAAAAAAACGATACAGCCATATTTACAGCCATCCCAAAAATAGAACCAAGACCATTAATTGACCTATAAGTTTAATATTAGAATAAATAGACTTGTTGTTTTTTTTCTTTCATCAAACTTACCAAACAAACCAATAGTTTGATACACAAGCAGCAAAATCTACATTTGGCATTTTTTCAACTTATTATTAAATATGGTTGGCAACGATTTTGTGACACTTGTTCGATCTGAAAGTAAATGGCATTGAAAAAAGAAAACAAACGAAGATTTATAAGTTAAGCGTTTCTCCACTTATTTTTCTCTTATTTTTCATTTTTGTTCTTAAATCCAAGAAAAAAAGAGTTTGTTTTCATTTCATAACTCTCAACAGTTTATTCACATGATTCGAAGAAAGAAACATTAAATGCAATTTACGATCATATGCATTATTTCATCACTTAAGTAAAAGAAAAAAACTTGTTGAGTGTAAGACAATCTTCTGTTGAATTTGGGTGTGGCAACCATGCAGAAAATAAAATTCAATTATGAATAAAACAAAATAACGTTCGAAGCTCTTCAAAACTCATTACTCGATTTATATGGTTAATCAAATTAAGTAAACTTTGACATTTAAATTAATGAAATCAAATATAAAAAAAATGTAAGATGTCCTAACAATTACATCAATGATAATTCATGCAAACAACTGATCATGATCTTTGTAAAAATAAAATACATTAGTTTTTTTTTTTTTCTAACAAAGTTATATACCAGACATAGGAGATATCATCAATATCTTTTTAAATAAAAAAATAAAATAGATGTTGTTTATTCAATATCAATGAGTGACACATGATCTCAAATGTGAGCTTTATTTAAACAAGTAGACTACACAATCGGATGTGATTTTTGTCAATAGACCAATGCACATCGATAGATTACCTCGTTTTATACTGCTTCTATAGGCGAGTCGGACAGGAAAAAAAAGAAGAAGAAGAGAGTAAGCTAATCGTGAGTATAAATTGTTTTTTGAGTACACATTTCGTCTTCATTGTCTCTTTCTATCAACAATTAATCTTCCGGGTACAAAATATTTACTTAACCTGAGCTTATAGCACGATTGAACAAATACAAATGATTCTTTTTATCTTTTACTTGAAAGAAAAAAGCATGTTTCAGCTTTGTTTTCTCTATTTGATTTTAAGTATTCAAAGTAAGGTTCTTTGTTTGTATGATAGTCACTAGATGGTTTCTTTTTATTATTGTTTAGAAGTTATTTCAACGAAGGATGAGTTTGTCTGCCCGAAAGATGGTCGATGGCCTCATCCGTTAGATTGTGAAAAGTGAGATTTGATATATTAATACCGAAGAACTATAAAAAATATGTCTTTCATTAATTAGATATTATACTTGCAATTCAGGTATCAGTGTTGAAGGATGGTAAGTATAAAATCTAGAAAGACAAAACAATCAGATTTTAAATCATAGAAGGTATTTTTATTCATTGTGTTTTTTTTTCAATTAGATTAACAATAAAAGTGTATAGCACTTCGTAAAACGTAAATTTCGAAAAATAGCTGAAATCCAGATAATGATTTTAATAGACATTGGAATTGTTTATAACAAAATTTCATAAATAAACTATGATAACAAAGTTTATAAAAGTCGGCCATGGCAGTTCTCAAAAGCTTTACTATCATAATTCATCTATGAAATTTTGCTATAGAAGACTATATTGAGCTAGGCAATTAACATAATAGAAAAAAAAATATTGTAGTTAAATTTTTTTCCACCATCGTATATCCATAATGCAAGTTCGTACTAGAAAATCAAATAAACTTCATTATTCCTAAAGCGATAGAAGCAACCATCAACTCACAATTGTAAACAGTACGGACGTTTTTTTTACCGGTTGAAAAAATATAATAGACATGCCTTTGTTTTTTCTCTAACGAAATATGATGAGAGCAAGTTTAAGCGCACTTATCCAAATAGTCAAACAATGTTTTGTTTTCTTCTGTTTGACTATACGATTTTGTTTTTTTTAATTAAAGTGGATTTCACATTGTAAACAGCACAATTAAAACTATGTTACCCGAGCCAAATTTCTCAGGTGACTTAATTAATGATCTGATATAAGCTTGGACTGTCATGTGTAGAGAAACATGAGATTGTTCTGTCAAAATTTGAAGCTTAATCATCAGCTGCCGAGCAAAATGAGTGTTTTTTTGAAGTCACTTCCGTTAATCAATTATTCAAAATAATCTAACAAATCAATTGATTACAACTCTGCATCTACCATAGAAAAACTAGCAAACTACTAGTAGAAACTCTTATAGAACTTCTTGTGTAAAGCTTTCATTTCAATGAATTTCACAGTATTGAAATAACAACTTTAGTTATTTATCTCATTAAAAAATGGCTCAATTTGAAACGATTTTATATAACAATCATAATTTGATTATTAATTAGTTTTATACATAATATCACAGGTGTGGTAGCGGTATGACCTATGATCCTGATCATCAACGATGTGATTTATCAAAAAATATTGAATGTAAAGATGGTGAAAGACCAAGTTGGACACCACCGGAAGGATGTACATAATGTTTATTTATGATTAATATAAAATTGATTTACTTTAATATATTAAGGGGGACAAAGTGAAAGTGTAACAAATAATATTGTAACAAAAACGACGACATTATCTCATGATGATGATAATGATGATGATGTTGAAATTAAAAAAAAGACACGAGTATCAAAAAATCGTAAACCTACAACTAAACCAGCAACTATGTCAACAAAATTAGCACGAATTCGAGTAACATTATCAATGTCTGAACTTGTTGAAAATAATGATTGTACATTTCAAGGAAATATGCCTGATCCAAATAATTGTCAATGTAAGAATTCAAATAGAATTTATTTTTTTATTTGTTTGTTTGTTTTTTAAGCTTATTATACATGTAAAGATGATGTTATAAAACGTATTCATTGTCCAGAAAAACAATTATTTGATGATGATTTACGAATATGTAGTGATTATCGAAAAGTTTTTTGCGGAAACCGACCAGTAAATGAACGTGATCTTGATCCATGTAAAATACATTTTTCTATTTTATTTTTCAATTGAAATATTTGAAGTTTTTATATAGGTCTTGGTCAACAAAATGGATGGTATGCTGATAATGAAAATCAATGTCGATCATATTATTTATGTACAGAACAACGTAAAACTAAAATGGGCGAATGTTCATTAGGTTCGAAATGGAATTCACAAAAACTTCGATGTGATGATCCAAGAAATATTGTTGCACCTTGTAAAAATATTTTTGATTAAGTTTTTTTTATTTCAATTAAAAATTTTTCTTTGTTTTTTAGGTGGAGTTCGTAGTAACAATGGAATCTCAGTGTTTCCTCAATATTATTCAATAATAACTATAACTTTTTCTATTTTTTCCTTCTTGTTAACATTCCCATGAATTGTTTTATGTCATATATAATAATAAAACATAATTTAGTGACGGACGTTTTTGATGTTTGTTTAGTAAATGATAGAAAACAAAAGGAAGCATACAATGAAAAATTTGTGCCTGTATTTAGTGTACCTGCGACCCTTGTTTTTATGCAGAACAATGGCATTTGTCTGCTCATTTTTATTTCCGAGTCATGTTGTTGTCTAACATGACAATTTTCTTTCTTTTTTGTTTTACCATATTTTTAAATGAATATGTGAAGAGAAAAAAAAAGGAATATTAGTTTTCATGGTTCGATACACTTTCATACATTTGACATAATGTTTATTGACATTTACTATTATTTTTTTGTTTTTTATTTCAATTATAAAATTTGCAATCAATCTTATCATGATTAGTTTGATAACATTTTCTTGTAAGTAAATAATACAATTACAAAGAAAATGACTCTTAATTCTTATCAATAACATTCTCAAATTTGAAGAGTAATTTGCTTCATTTTGTTTATTTGACTATGCATATATAGTCATGATTTAGATATTTTTTTTTTGTGTTAAACAAATGAATATTTATATTTCTAATATATAATGAAAATATGATATTCATCTCAGGCTCTATTTTTCATATTTTTACATATATCATTCTAGAGGGTACTACACTCTTCTTCAAAGCATTCTATATCTCTTGATTGCATGACAAAAAACAACAAGATCCTCTTGAAGATATATAATGAGATACATACTCACTCGTTGCATAGATTAACGAACTATTTATCTCGTGTGAATTCCATTAAAGAATAGGACAAAAAAAAAAAGGAAAGTTGATTACAACAATGGTTGAGTTTTTCCTGAAAAAATCTTTTGTAATCTTTTTTCTTTTTCTCGAGAATTCCATTAATATTGACGTCATAACATTTTTGAATAGGTGAAAAGAGAAGAGCACGTCAATAATCAAAATATATCGTAGCATTTTCATTAAGATTCAATAAAAAACAAAAGTACGATTAATATCAAATTGCAATTGATTCAGAAGGCGGGGGGGGGCAGGGCGGAGAAAGGAGGAGAAAAGAAGAAAAAAAATCCGTACTTCACTGCACTCCAAGAATATGTCAAAGCTATCCTCTAGAACGTTTTAGCTATCTCAAGTCGACCATTAACTTGTGTTACAAGTATATCAGTTTGAATTTATTTTATATAAATTTGTTTAGTAATAAAATCCAAATATTTCATTAGGCTTGAAGTATTTGGTATTTATTGTGAGCCAAACTTATATACAATGAACTTGAATTAATAGGTTCATGACACACATATTGATAATAGACTTGAAATAGATAGAAAGTTCTAACAGATAGCGCTGACATACCCTTGTAGTACACTGAAGTACGTAGTTAGCGGTTATTCTCTTTTTCATTGATTATATAAACAATGAGATTATGTAGAATAATATATTGTATTATCATTTCATGTATAAAACAGTAAAGAATAGGCGTTATGAAGAATAGAAACAGAACAGCTGATGATAAGACCTTCCAGTTCGTCGTATCTTATGAGTCATTATATACTTGTCATGTTGTAGGAAAAGCAATAAATATCTTGTTCTCTTTGCCTTGTCTTGCTTGTTGATGGTCCGATACTTACCTCATATTCTATTCAAGGAAACCTACTATATACATGCGTCTGATGAAAAATACTACGTCTTTTATTTACTTTAGTTG